AGATATTGGATCCCATTCTGTGTACGTAACATTTTTAGTTACACAGATATTGAATTCTATTGACTAATAAACTCATTACAAATAATACGTAAAAATCTGTATTAAATTAATATATGAAATATCCCAGTGATTCATTATAATTCTGCAGTCTTTTTTGTGATTTGAATCGAATAATTTTATACCATTCGAATTCTTCATTCAGAAGATACGAATAGTGAACAAATTATCGATTTGGATCATCGAATCACAAGACATTCCAAATTTGACATAATACACTTTGTCATTTATATACCACAATAGCATATATTGACAAAAAGATCTTTATTAAAACTCTCCAAAGCTCATTAAAAAATGAAACAAATTAAATTAAATAAATAATTGCCAATAATTAAATCTTAAAGCCACAATGCTTGCTTAACCTTAAACCCAACTTTCGTCATAATTCCTGTATTTTTATTCGCCTCTGCAAATCTATAAATATTATTAAATCAATCAATGAATTAATTTAATACAAAATTACATGTAAATAATGTTTATTTTTCACATGTGTACGTGTGCGGATCCAATCAAATTAATTGATGTTTTTGAAATAATGCAATTTGATTGGGCCGCACACATGCATGCATGTGAAAAATAAACACTGCATGTAAATAATATGTACCCTATAATTGGTTTCTCAATGACAAATCCATCGTCTGCGTTTCCAATATCCCTACACGCTTTAACAAGCTCATCGACAACTTCATTAACGGCTTGTTTGCTAGTAACTCTTTCAGCTGCTCTAGCTTCATTAGTTCCTTTACCATCTTTATTGCTTAAACTATTAGGTGTCCCACCTGCACCACCATCAAATTTTGTCGCTTCGCCAACTAAATTACTTCGAAATGCTTTAAAAGCCATAAATCTTTTATCTTCATTGTCATTTTTAGGACTCATCAGTAAAGAGTCCGTTCTGCTATTAGTACGAATATTAGTGCCAGTTCCGGTAACATCAGCTTTATTTAATGGAACTACACTTTTTTGAACACCATTAGAGTTATTGTTATTTCTCATGCTACCGCTATTTACACGACTTGATTCACCCGATGCTCGATAGTATACCACAAAGCCATAATTATCTTCTGGTGTTACACATGATGGATATAACGTTGATAATATATATTCGCCTTAATAAATATTTAGTCAGTAACATATTTTACAATACAAGAATTTAATTAAATCGCCTCAAAGCAATACGACCAAACAGGAAAAAAAAGATAAAAAGTTGAAATCTTACCCTTCTCAATGCAAATAATCTCACCCAATCCAATTCTTTTAAACTGTACAACTTTTTCAAGACGATAATGAAACGTGCATACATATAATGCTTTTTTGGTTAATAACAGTACTTTTTCCTCATACGATTTACTTCGCCTAATATGCATAATTAAGTAGTTTTATCCAGTAGTAAGTAAAAGTATATCCTACGCCAGTGTTGGCAAAGGACCGGTCATTTGATTTTAAATGATCAAATGACCAGGTCATTTGTCATTTAATATCGATATCATATATGTTAAAATTACTGTGATCACGTCATTTAACGACATGCCAGCCAACAAGATACAAGCATATGTGTGCAACATATGCGTATAATTTTTGTGTTGCCAAAAGAAATTAAATATAGCCTATATATAAATATGTATGTTTTCTCTTGGCGACACTCGTATTAGGTCATTTAGTCATTTCAAATGTAAAATGACCAACTCATTTGGTCATTAGTCATTTGAACTGCCAACACTGTCCTACGCTCAAAAAAAAATGAAATAACAATTATACGGGATCTTTGCAAAGAAAATGACCCTCCGAGGTTATGTTGATTTTGTGAATAGAAATTAAATTTGTCGACCATCTAGTCATCCAATTTGAATGATCTTTTTTTTATTTTGTAGAGCTTATGTAGCTCCACAAAATAAAACAGTCCATTCAAATTAGAAACTAGATGGTTGGAAAATTTTTAATTTTTATTCACAAAATCAACATAACCTCAGAAGGTCATTTCTTAGCAAAGATCCCATATAAGATTACAGAAATGTATCACCTACAGTGTGCTTGGTTCACTTGGTGACAAAAAAGTCCACCCGTCAACTCTTTCTTCGTTATCAACAATAACAATTGAACTGCTAATGTCAACTATAAAGTCAAATAAATCAAGTTAAAACCTCAACAATATTATTTTAGGCAATAGTATTTAATAATTACATTCAAATTTAAGGAACTTACTGGCATTGGCTCTAATTTTTGCCCACCTCTCAGCATCACCAGGTTGTGATGCTTCAAACTTTTGCTGCAATTCTTGAAATACATCCAATGAATGATTTCCAAGAATATAATCGATTGTTGCCTACAAGAAAATATTTATATGCAACAAAGTAGTAGATATTATTATAATAGAAATAATCATAATAATAATACATATATACATATATTTACCTGTCTAAAGAAATCTTTAAATGTATTTTGAAACATTCTAGCCAATGAATTTGATGCATCATTGACAACTCCTTGAAGATTTCGTTTTCCTATCATGGAAGCAATCAATCATAGTCAATTATAAGGATTTCTAAAATCTCTGAATACATTTCGAAAACAAATCAATAAGAAATTGCCTCACCAGTTCTATATAAATTGTAAAATTAATTTAGCCAAATAAATGCAAAAAAAAAAAAGGGGAAAGCCAAATACCTTGTAAAGTCACCTTTCAAAGCACTGGTTCCCGCATATTCTCTACTTATAGAATCACCGTTATTTGCCCAAACTAAATAATCACAGTGCACAGTATTGAAGACCATATGTACATCAAAACAGTGTTGCCCAACTCTTTAAAAGTAATAATATTAATAATATATAGCGCTCACCGTCATTAAAAATATTTTCAAATTCTTCATAATGTGATATACCACCATCAATGAATTCTGAGACACCAAGTCTAAGAAGTTGTAGGTTCAAAACTTCTCGTGCTAATGCGCTCTGCATAAAAATAATAAAGATAAAATAATTAAACGTATTATAAATTAAAATTATTAAAATTGGACCTTAAAGAAAGTACTTACCTGTACAACATTTGTCCTATCCAAACAATCCATACAATTCTAATCATCAAGTAAGATGAAATTCACTATATCTAATTCTCAAAACGAAATAATAATAATCATGCGATGATAACAAACCGTGCGAAATATTCCCATTTGCTTACAATGAACTTCATTATTGCCAACTTGCCAGAAATAGCTATAAATAAATAGGTTTCAAAATTAATATCTGTTAATACATTAATAAACGATAATAATACAAGGTGACGAAAAAATCTGATTACCCCATAGAATGAAAATTTCTAGCAAGTGTAGACACCAGCATGGAAATGTTTTCATATTTCATTCCTCTACATTCTTTATGAAAATCAAACTCGACATACCTATCCAATAATAAAACGTTTTAGTGCAAATGGCCTTTGAAAATTAATCCTAGTACAAAATAACAATACAAACTCAATATTTTTATTTCCTAAATTTTGAATGGCTTCGCGATAAGCAGTACCAATAATTGCTTCTCTTCCATTGGACTCAACCAGGTTTATGCAATTAGTGTGTCCATATGCATTTAATAGAATATCGAAATGCTTTGCGAATGCTTCAGCATTTTCTTCCGCAGATCTTTCAAGAGTTGGTTTCGGTTTTAGGCCATATGGAGATTGAGACCAAAATAATGGAACTGTATATAAACAATCTTTTATTATCAGAGGATTCTGATAATAATAAGTAATACTAAACTTATAATTTAATATCATATATAATTACCTGAACCACGGACTTGTAAAAATGAGACATCATGATTTGTATCATCAATCTATAAGTAGTATTATAATTTACATGAATTATCGCCCATTTACAACGGTACATCAAAGCAATACTATTCATTACCTTAATTGAAAGAATTTGTTCAGTTTCAACAAAATTTGCTACAGCTCCTTGTTCATTGACACCTCGACGTTGATATCTCAGTCCTTCAAAATATCGGATAATTAATAAAAACTGGATTTATTACTTTTTTAATATAAAGCAGATTTAAGAATAATCAAACCTGGTCTTTCTCGACTTCTTCGAGAAATAATTATAAAATCAAATACTCGATCTTCAATCTCACAATGCTCTGATTGAACATAACCTTGCATTACAGGTAATATCCAAGCATGTAGCTAATAATTCATTTTTATGCATAAATATATAAATTATTTTTTTACGTCCTAATATTATTATTTCCAACAATTATTACCTCGAGTTCTATAAAACTTTTAAGCATATGTTCATTCCACCAAAATTTCTTATTAATTTGTTTCCATAGTGGCTGATCCTTTAGTTGACCTCGTTCATACTTCTGCTGCAGAGAGGTCGTAATATCTATTTTATCGAAATTTAATGTAGTGTCATATCATAGATATCTATTTAAAAGCAATCTAAATATTTACCAAGATCATAAGAATAGAAAAATGCATCCGAACGAAACAATGACGCAATCTCTCTCGTGATCCTTAAATCCATAGCCTATGAACAATTACATTCTGTACTCTGAATAATGGCCTAAAATAATCAAATAATATTCGAAGCGAAAATAATAAGCTCACCTTCTTTTCAATTGGATCCTTAACATTAAGAGTATTTGGGTTTCCAACATCATTAGCGAAACCTTCCCAAACGCCAGTAACCTTCTTTGCTGCATTCGATAAACCGGTAGCTATCGACAGCTTACCAGTAGGTGGACCTTTTGCTGAATCCTCATTTGAGTCCACATTCACGTATGTTTCGTTGACTGATGTTATTGTCTCCCATTCTGTATCTCTATCAAAATCTTCTGAGTCTGATCCATTGGAATATAATGATGGAGGTCTTCTCCGCCCGAAATCTGACCACGCAGTCCTCATTTTTGAAACAAACGCTGAAAGTGGTTGCCGTTTTGTTTGTGATTCTGCTGGTGGTGTAACTTCAATAGATGGGGACATTAAAGAAGGTGATGACGATAGATCAACAGTTTGGTCTGCCGTTTGGGGGTCTACGATAGTCTCTTCAATCACATTAGAAATGTATCGTTGATGCGTCCCAGTCGTGCCACTACCATCATAAGCACTTCCTTGATCATCGTCATCCACAGGCCATGACTTTAAATCAAGATTGACGTGGTGAATAGCAACATTTAAGCTTTTTGATAAATAATAATACAACTTACGTATCTTTCCAGAATTCTACAAGCACGATCAAAATCCAAAGGCAAAATGATAATGTTTTTCACTATATAAACACTTTTACCCTGAATTTGGCCGATATGTTTTCGATCCGTGATCATAACGAGATTAATTGCTAACACGCGAATACGAAATGAAATTAATAAATTTCATCACACTTGTGTAAAATATTGTAAATCTTCTGTTTATATACCTGTTAACAACTTTAGGAATCCTATAACCCCATACACTTCATAACACCTTGCGTCCTGTGATGCTTCGTAACCATCTAATCAAATTAATAAAATCGTACACAACACATTTTTCATTTTCAAATATAATTTCGGTATTCGATCTGAACTAATCCCATTCCTCAAAAGGCAACTTCTATCAATAGAACTTATTTACTGGTCGAATACCTTTCCTTTCAATTTCTCCGCTTTCCAAATTGATTACTAAGTAATCATCACTGGCGATCAAAACAAAACATTTTCTGTCTACACACAATGTAATTTTCTTATGCAACGGAGGTGGTGGTGGAGGTTGCGGCTTTGGAGCTTGTAAACTGGGAAATAATACTTTATTAATAAACATTTTTTTCATAAAATAATTCGACGAATCGATTAACGAGGGTTAATTTCATATCGATACATAATATTGATTTTTAACTTTAAATAATAGTTTTGCAATGTGTTACCTGGGACGTAAAATTTTCAAGATTTCTGTTCATGGAAGGACTTTATCTGATTGGTTGATGTAAATCAATTGCCAGAGTAACTTATTTTTCATATAACCAGAATAAGGTTAGTCCTTTTCATAATACTTTGTCACAAAAACATAACGATAACGATAACCTTATCGTTATAGACAGGCGACCACCAAAAGTACGGGAACATGGTAAGACGCCACAGCCGGATAGATTAGTGGAGCAACCAAAATTCAGCAGAGCGACCAAAATTTAGGGTCGGAATAGGCCGGAGGTGATAAATTTCTCCCCAAATCACCCAAAATTTTACTAATGAAATGGTAGCCCACGTACTAAGTAAAGCTGCCCAGAT